AAATTAATTTAGAAAGCTTATGAAATAAAATCATTGAAACTTTTGTAATAACAATTTAGCAAAAGTATGAAAGCTAAAAATATCTAAAAATATTTTATAAAAATATGAGGGCAAAATTGAGTATCAAGAGTGGGACATATTGGATCATGTTAGAGCACATGGGATGTGTTGGATATCGGTTATGATTGAGTTTTTAGCATGCATGATAATCCTACACTCATGTAGAATCATTCTTATAGATGATACTTGGTGTATATCATCTTTATTTGTGGATTTAGCAATTGTACTGTGTTTTGTCTATCTTATTTGAGAAGCATGCTTATTCTATCTCTGATTTTGCACCATATTGTTATATTTGTTATTCTTGGTTATTTTCTATTATATCATGTTATTATGGACTGTCCAGGTTGAGGAAGTGAGTATCATGCTTTTGTCAAAATCTCGCCACTATGTCTTCGAAATTAGTATTGATTCTTACTAAGTATACGTTGTTTTGGTACTCATACTATGCTTTTGTACATTTTATGCAAATCTTGGTACTGGACCTAATGGCTTTCAGGAGGAAGCTTAGAGATTATCCGGAGACTTCGAGTGAGCTGTCGTTCCTGTTTCATAACTTATGGAGTCCCCTTTATCCATTTTATTGTTATTTGGTTCAGATAGTATTGTTATATTTGCGACTCAGTTGAATGCTATTTAGTTGTTCATAACTTCGTACTACTAGGTTGTGGGAGCTATTATAGTATTTTTCGCTTTGATTGAAGTTCTTGAGATTTAGTATGCTTTATTTATATCATGACAATAGTTTGTCTTGTATTTATATGATTTGGTTGATTTGGAGTTGGCTTACCTAGCATATTGAAGTTAGGTGTCATCACGCTTTAATGAAATTTCGGATCGTGACAACATCCTAGAATGTACATACAGTGCAGGCCTATATATATAGAAATATATAAGAAAATAACAATCATGAAATAGGAAAGAAGAAGCAACTTAAAAGTTATCATGAAACTCCCAACTGAACATGAGAAGCAATGCATACCTCAGATTTGGTGCTTCATAACCTGCAAATTATTCTTGAGCGATTATCTTCAGGGGCGTATCAATTTATTGGAGCATGGGCCACAAATCGTGGAATCATTTTTTTATTATTTATCTTTTCACATTTTCTCTCCTTTTATTTTCTATTCTAATATTTCAGTTGCATGATTTAGCATTTAGAACTCCTCTCCTTCTTTATTTGTCACGATTTCAAATCCAACTAGTGGCGATTGCACCTAATCCAATCTGTTGGGTAAACCAATTAACAGTAAAACAAAATTTAATAATGAAATTAAGAGTCAATATGAAATAATTGAATCTTTATATAACTCCCCAAGGACTGGTGTACAAGTCATGAGCTTCTAAGATTTAGAGTTTACAAAGTTGGTATGAAATAAATATATTATCTGTTCGAAATATACATAAACAGATATTAAAAATCTAAAGCTACCAAGAACAAGAGGCACCTATAACCGGAACGCATGTACATCTTCAATGCCAGCTCCCGCCATACACAACAATAACAGTTCCAAAAATCTGCACGCAATGTGCAGAAGGGTAGTATGAGTACAACTGATCCCATGTACTCAATAAATATCCTAACTAACCTCAATGAGGTACAAGAAGCAAGAACTATAAATGATACTCACAAACGCCTGTACAATTTATAATTTCAACAAGTATAGAATAACTATATGATCAAATTAGGAAAATCTCAGGTATAACCGCTTTGATGATCAAAATTATTTGTTTTAAAGTGTTTTACTTAGTCAACAATCCAGCACATAAAGAAGATATGCAAGTACAGCAGACAACAGTCAAGAAAATTACAAATAAGAGTGAAATGCAATAACCAAATAACAGCCCGTTGCGGCGCACAACTCGATCCAATAACAGTAACTAGCTCCCAGAGCTCACATAAACCAGAAATACGTCGGTTTCTCACAATCCACGTGTACATCATCAAGAGAGAAATATGAGAGGGTGACCCTGACAACTCACGTGCTGTACGGATAACTCACGTGCTAATAATATCAACCGCACGGACAACTCACGCGCTATAATATCAATATCTGGATCCGCACGGACAACTCACGTGCTAAAAATATCAATCCGCCCGGCGTGGTCACAGGCACAATATCATAATCCATTTGGCATGATCACAGGTATAACAACACAATCCGCCCAGCGTGTATAAAAGAGAATAGTTAATGTATGAAAAAGGAGAAAAATTGTTATGCAATTGATTGGTTCCAACAAAAAGAATCGGAAAATTTTTAACTATTTAAACATATTAGGCAATGGATTGATTTCCAACGCATAATTAGGAAAAGATATTAAATATGATAGGACCCTTTTTTACTAGCAGTTTGATGAATTGAATATATATATATATATATATANTATATTTATGAGTACATAATTTTAGAATATATTTTAAAATAATAATAAATATTTATATATCCTATTTAGCTAACCTATTCAAAGAAAAAATCTGATTCTGCTGTATTATCCCTACTAATGGTACTGATGATGTAGCTAGCAACTTTAACACTATTGTAATACTTTAGCCTTATGAATAAATAAATATCATATTAACCAAAGTAAATACTATAAAAGGAACATTTGAGTAAAGGGTACAAAGATTGTCTCTAGTCCATCCTATATCAATGAGTACAACAACAACAACTCAGTAAAATTTTACTAGTGGGTCTAGGGAGGGTAGTGTGTACGCAGACCTTACCCCTACCCCGAGGGGTAGAGAGGCTATTTCCTATATCAATGAGAACATAATTTCTAAATATTATTAAATAGTAATATACTTGAATCAAAAAATAAAAAGTAAAAAAAATATAAGTTCCTGAAAAAAATGTAAGTTAATCTTATATATCTAGTATAATTAAGCAAGAAATTATGCGTCGCATAAATCATTGGATGCTTTACTGTAATTTTTCGAGAAGTTTTGTAGAAATATCTCATGAATATTATTGCTAATTTGTGACCTAATACTAAAAATAAATAAGTAACACAAAATAGTTTAATCACTCTTATTTAAATTTTGTGAAGTAACACAAATTGGAAAATTGAATCTTTTAGAAATTTTGGAATTACGGTTGGCCATGCGGCTCCTATGGAAAAATTTATAACTCACAAGCGTAAAGTCAAAAAATGACTAATGTTAAGGTAATATAATTTTACAATAAATAAATTAATATAAATAAATATAGGAGTTGTAATTTGTTAGAATGAAAGCAACCAAAAAAAAAGGACAACTCATTCACATGTTGTCTTATACTAAGATATAGATTCAAGTTCGCACTTAGCCAATTCGACTTTTAATACTATATTATAATCGATTTATAATTTTTTTATTATTATTTCTTCACAACATTCTTCTTATGAAAATAATTTTATGTATATGTAAGGAGTTTTGTCAACTTGAAAAAATAAAACTCTCTATATAATTAATTTGAAAAAGAATTGAATTGAATTGAATTCTATTGCTATTAGTTAATATAAAAACATAAAATTCTTCTTTGTTGTGTTGTTGTCGTAAAATTGCGTTCTTCGTTACGTCGTCGATCTTCCAATTTCTTCCGGTATGCCGCTCCGCCAGCAAGGAGCGAAAGAATCAAGTTTTCTGTGGTGATGTCAGAATTTGTACATATTTGAATCTATTTAGTGATCAGTCCGCTAGTTTCTTTGCTCCCACTCGGTCTTCCTTTTCTATTTTCTTCCAATAGTTCGACTTATCCAGAAAAATTGATAATTATTTATCTTTACATCAAAGGAAATAATTTATTTTTAATTAAATTTTTAGTATTATCTCATTTCAAGTGTTGAGTATTTAAATTTAATAATAATTTTTTATTTAATAAGAATTTTATTTTCGAAGGATAAAAAAAACCGATATGACATTTTACTTTAGCTTTTTATATTTGTAGAATTATTAGTGTTATTGACTCTTATCAATTATTTCTCTCTCTTTAAATTCGACCTTTTTTTTAGTTATTTTTCTAATTATTAACTGTATTTTAAAATATTATATAAAAAGATGAACAAAAAAATATTATTTAAGTGAAAGGTAGTTCACATATAATATAGAAATGTGAAATTGACCATTGAACAAATTATTCATCATTAATTGATGCCGTGACATTTAACTATCTATATTTTTGTGTTGTACTTATTTATTTTGACCTCAATTAGCAATTGATTTATGCTATCAAGAAAATAGCACCTCCACTATTTCATTCACGTTATTTAATACTAACAATTTGTTTGACAAATAATATGTAGTATCGAAGATACTATAATTATATAAGCTAAATTTTATTGGATTTTGAAGTCCTAAATATTAGGAATTTTTACGTAATTCAAATAAGGAAAGGTTTTAATAATTAAAATTTTAGTTGATTTCGAAGATCTAAATATTAGGAAAAATAATCAAATGACAATTTTGTCTAATTTCTTAGCTTATTTTGCAAGATATTAAGGAGTAATTTGATTAAATACTACCAGTAGGTCTGTCAATCTCTTTTTTTTCCTATTTGTATGTTCCAATAAGGAGAACATCATGTGAAGATAATATAATAATTATGATTAAATCAAACAATCTCATAATTAAATTGAAATCTGCTTAGGTTTCCACAATAAAATATGGTAACATCACATGTAATGTTGATATATGCAATATTTCAAAGACCTTTAAGCTTTAATTTTCATAAAATAATTCATATATTCGGTCAAGGTTACCTACTAGATTATTCTTAATGTAGAGGTTATATTGACGCCTATTCTGGGTTCAATCACGATGCATAATAATTATCGAGTCTTTTACTACTGTCTCCCCTCTTGGTTTCAACCAAACAGGATTAATAAGAACTTTTATCTCCCGGTCCTAATTAACACTGAAAGGTAGAATTTATCCTTCAAATACTGTTAAAGAAAAAGAAATGTAGCTGGTCTGCAGGGTTTCATAAAAACTTTACACTTGGATATCCAGAATTTACACTTGTTTTGCTCGTTTTTTCTTCAGTTGATACTACCAGTTTAGATGCTTTTAGTTCAAAACACAAACACTAAAAAGTGGAGAGAAGGATCACATTTCCAATTTGGAGAAAAAAGAACAACATTTTGAACCCTTTTGTGGTCCGAGGTCCCAAAAAAAAGTAAATTTTTTCAAAGACAACCGATAAGCAAATGTCATCGCCAGATCAGTAATTGGGCATAAGATCCACATCAAAACACCTATGCATACACTTCAGAATCAATTTGCTCGATATTTGGGAATATTTGTCTCAAAGAACTTGTATAGTTCGGAGATTGTGCCTGCAACCATAATACACTGCATTAGCGTGGCTATCATAGAACTAAACATCTACATGTATGATGTTAAGAAATCTCCTGTAACTGATCAGAGGAATCTCCTGCAAGCATGAAATGTTAGTTCAATCTATATTGAGGTGCCAAAAATTATAGACCAAGGACATTCCAAACACAACTCGAGTGTGAAAACAAGAAGGATTTTATGACTCAGTCTATTGTTAGACAAGGTTGCTCCAGTGGTCAGAGCATTTCACTTCTAACAAAGAAGTTGTGAGTTCAAGTCACCACTATCAGTCAACCCATCTTGTCTAGGACGCTTTTACAAGGTAAGGCCCACTAGCCATCTTGTGGAGTCCATGATTGTTTATAAATTCATGGACCCGAGTCCTCACATTCACCTAAGTTTGGCCATTTTCCGGAATGCAAAAGCACTAGGAGCCTAAGTTTTTCAAAAGAGAAAAGGAACGAGTACAAATTTAGCACACAAGTCAAGCATAATGCCAACCTCATAGACAAAGTTTTGGGAAGGATGTATAACCAACACTATCACCACAAACACGGAGCCGAGAAAGAGCAAAAAAGATATTCATAAAAAAAGCAACTACCTTACTTAAGCAAGTCTGCTACTTTAGGACGACGGACGACCGCCCATAGGGGGTTTATTGCACAAGGCCCCTGCAGAGGAAAGGCTTTATCCCAGAGCACCCTGCAGCTAAAGACTGACATCCCTTCCAGCCATCAGAGTCCAGTCTCACCTTGTTTGACTCTGCCTTTCCAAAATATTTCTTTCTGAATGTTGCGCCTCAAACTGTTCAACCGTGCAATTCCAGTGCTGCACATTTATCTAAGGGCCTACTACACCTGTACTGATTTTCATGGTCTTTTATATTATTTTCTTCGCGAGCTTTCACATCTCTGTGAGAACCCTTTGTGAGGTTTCTAATTTTAATGATGACCAAAACAAGAGTCAAGTGCATACTACTAATGCAAGAAATACATGTCACCCCACCTAAACCACAATGAAGAAGAACTACGCAAGAAGCCAACTTGTTACTTGATAACGGCTAAATAAAGACCATCTATCAAGGCGCAAATCAGGGTAGCAGAGAAGAAAAGAGAATCAATCAACATTGCAAGATCTAGGGAATCCATCCGTTAGAAGACCAATCAAGAGCTTCAAATCAGCCTTTATATGGAAATTGTGAAGATCAAGACTGTCGCTATCAAAGAGGATTTGACGAGCAAACTGACTTAATGAATCCAGTCACAATCCCTATACTAGATTCAAGAGTAGGGTCTTGGGCCCTACTCTTAGAATACAATTGCCTCAAAAGGAAAAACATAATCAAAGGGATTTGGGTTTTTCAATCTCTCAGCACAAGGAAGATAGAATACATCAAATACATTGGCGAGTATATAAAGAGCAGGAAGACTTGAAGATCACCACGCAGCTTTCATATAGTTTTCAGTCTTTCTACTTCTTAGCAAAAACACTGTATTCCTAAGTCTACTAGTGTCTCGAAAGATAGAGAGAAAAAGAAAGCAAGTGAAAGGTTGTGTCAAGAACAACTATTGTAACTCGTTGGTGGTTAAAGTTTGGCCATTTTCCGGAATGCAAAAGCACTAGGAGCCTAAGTTTTTCAAAAGAGAAAAGGAACGAGTACAGATTTAGCACACAAGTCAAGCATAATGCCAACCTCATAGACAAAGTTTTGGGAAGGATCCACCTTTCCAGTACCGTTGTTCACCCTGCAGCTAAAGACTGACATCCCTTCCAGCCGTCAGAGTCCAGTCTCACCTTGTTTGACTCTGCCTTTCCAAAATATTTCTTTCTGAATGTTGCGCCTCGAACTGTTCAACCGCGCAATTCCAGTGCTGCACATTTATCTAAGGGCCTACTACACCTGTACTGATTTTCATGGCCTTTTATATTATTTTCTTCGCGAGCTTTCACATCTCTGTGAGAACCCTTTGTGAGGTTTCTAATTTTAATGATGACCAAAACAAGAGTCAAGTGCATACTACTAATGCAAGAAATACACGCCACGCCACCTAAACCACAATGAAGAAGAACTATGCAAGAAGCCAACTTGTTACTTGATAACGGCTAAATAAAGACCATCTATCAAGGCGCAAATCAGGGTAGCAGAGAAGAAAAGAGAATCAATCAACATTGCAAGATCTACGGAAGCCATCCATTAGAAGACCAATCAAGAGCTTCAAATCAGCCTTTATATGGAAATTGTGAAGATCAAGACTGTCGCTATCAAAGAGGATTTGACGAGCAAACTGACTTAATGAATCCAGTCACAATCCCTATACTGGATTCAAGAGTAGGGTCTTGGGCCCTACTCTTAGAATACAACTGCCTCAAAAGAAAAAACACAATCAAAGGGATTTGGGTTTTTCAATCTCTCAGCACAAGGAAGATAGAATACATCAAATACATTGGCGAGTATATAAAGAGCAGGAAGACTTGAAGATCACCATGCAACTTTCATATAGTTTTCAGTCTTTCTACTTCTTAGCAAACACAATGTATTCCTAAGTCTACTAGTGTCTCGAAAGATAGAGAGAAAAAAAAAGCAAGTGAAAGGTTGTGTCAAGAACAACTATTGTAACTCGTTGGTGGTGAACGAAAGAAAACCACACTCATCTGCAATTAATTTCGATTGAAGATTTAAGAGAACCCTTGTGACCCAAGGGAACTGGATGTAGGTGTCACGTCGGTACACGAACCAGTATAAAAATCTCTGTCTCATCTGCCTTTTATTTCCTATCTTATAACATATATATCTGTTGTGCTAACTATTGCTTGCAGGATAATTGTAGTTGACTAAGAAGTAACCTAGTCGACTAAAAGAATTTTTACAATTCACCCATCCCCCCTCCTCTTTTACTTTCAATTGGTATCAGAGCAGGTCTCATACAATGCGAAAGACGTTTGCTTAACCGCAAAGTGAGAAAAGGTCAAGGGAACAAACACTGTTGTTAGAGCACTATTTTAGGAAGGGACATCACAAATAAGGTCACCTTACTTCAATGGACATCATTTCTCTCGTTGGGAAGTGTGTATGGAAACATATGCAAAATCCAATGACATCAAAGCTTGGCGCGTTATCAAGAAAGGAGATCTACCTAATCCACAAGCAAAAAAGGACAAAGCAACTGAAAGCCAGGTATCATCTGATCCATTAGATTTAGATGATTATACTGATGAACAAAATGTTGTGGTGCAGGTCAATGCTAAGGCAAAAAATCACCTATACAATGCAATAAGCGGCGAAGGATATGAAAAGATCTCAAGTTGTGAAACCGCAAAAAACTGTGGGATAAGTTGGAAGTCACTTATGAAGGAACAAATAAGGTTAAGGAAACCAGAATAAACCTTTTGAGTCATGACTACGAGTAATTTCAAATGAAAGAAGGAGAATCAGTGGAAGAATTTTTCTCGATTCAGTAAAATTGTTGGGGATCTCAAATCTTTTGGGAGACCAGTGAAAAATGGAGAACAAGTCAGGAAAATTCTGAGAAGCCTACCTAGAGCCTGGCAACCTAAAGTCATTGCACTGGAATGCCAAGATCTTGATAAAATTTCTTGTGATGAACTTCTAGGTGATCTTATTGCCTTTGAAAAGACTCATTTGAACATACGTGTGCAAGAAGAAAAAAAGAAGATTGTTGCATTCAAAACCACTATGGCTAAATCAGAAAAGGAAGAAGAAGGAGGAGGAGGAGGTGGAGAACAGGATGAAAACATAGCCATGCTCTCAAAAGTAATATCAAACATGATGAGAAGAACCAGAAATGGTAAAAGAGGCAAGCCAAATTTTAGGAAAGGAAAAGCTGTAAACGATGGAAGATGCTACGAATGTGGGAAGATTGGTCATATTCAAGCAGAATGTCCTAATCTGAAAAAGAAAGTCACCAGAAACTATCGTAATAAGAAATCCTTTGGTGCATGGAGCGATGAAGAAGAGTCTAACCATAAGGAAATAGCAAACATGTGTTTCATGGTGATTGGAGAAAATAGTGATGAAGAAGAATCCGATAACGAAGGAACAAATAACTTGAGTCTCATGGCAGCCGAAGGAAGGTACGTTCACCTATTCGTCATAAATGTAATGAGCTTCAAGAATTTATTAATATTGCTCTTGTCGATTTGAAAAAGTTCTGCATGAACTTCGAAAGATTCAACGAAAGAAGAAAGACTGGGAACTGAAACTAGAAGTATGTGAGATCGTAAGAGACATGCTTCAAGAAGAAGTTCATGAACTTCAGTTACAGCTGAATGGTTTACGCAAGTCCACCAGCCACAACTCCATTAAGTCAAACCAATCGACTATATGTAAAAACTCTAAAAGGGGATCAGTGAATTACAGACCTATCGAAGAATCTAGTCGCCCTTCTTGTTTTTATTGTGACAAATCTGGTCATGTATCTATTCATTGCATGTTTAGAAATATAAAGGGCTGGGTCTGACAGCCCAAAACAACCAATCGGGCAAACAACCCAAAATCTAACCAAAAAGGACCCAAGCAGGCTTGGGTACCTAAGAGATAGTAATTTATTATTTTTGCAGGAACACCGCAAGAGGAATCGAAAAATAAAATGGCATCTTGATAGCGCGTGTTCCAGACACATGACAAGTGACAAATAACTTTTCAAATCAGTTAGTAAACTCGATGGAGGATCAGTTACCTTTGGAGACAAATCAAAAGGAAATGTCTATGTTATTAGTAATGTTGATGTCACTTCAAACCATTTATGTTTGGCATCTATGATTGATGATCATTGGGTATGCACAGAAAATTAGGTCATGCTAGCATGCATACTATTGAGAAACTTTCTAAACAGGATCCTGTTATCGGTCTTTAAAAACTATTTGCGATGAATGTTAATTAGGAAAACAAACAAAATCTTCTTTCAAAGTCAAGGACATCATTTCTACTACAAAACCTCTTCAACTGTTGCACATGAATCTTTTTGGACCGTCTAGAACT